TCAGCTCCACCTTGAAGAACCAGAAAAGCAGGCAACCAAAAAAGGTCGAGAATTCCAGAACCTCACTAATTATGGGAACAGAAAGCAATACACTCACAGAACGTCATCATCACGGTCTCGAAAACCACTCAGATTAAAGTGTGTCATGTCTCATCTCTTACACCCTCCTCTAAACCCATCACTAACGGGGCCATCCCCTCCAAATCTGAACTCCCAGGCCGGCCAGTGGCATAATGGTTAAGGAGCTGGATCCCATAGGGCCGACTTCGCAGTTCAAGTCCCAGGCCACAGTTTGATGAGTATGCACGTGTGTGGGCGTGCCCTAAAGTCCCAATAGAATGGAGAAGGGACTGCAGGTTGCCATCCCCCATGGTGGTGTTTTCTCACCCCCCCAGCGGAGCCCCATCCCCCAGTCTGTCTCTCTCCAGTGAGCACATCCTCCCTATAGCAAAAAGCAAAACAAAGGACTCTCTTTCATTGTCACCACTATTATTCTCAAACACAACTATGTAAGAAACGTGTCCAAAATCACTTTTTACCTCACTGTGATCTCACTCTCTCCTGTCACCTGCCATAGCCACCTAAGTCTCCTATGTTACAATATTTAGTGTGTGTGAGGTTCACGCACACCCCTTCTGTTTCACTCCAAATTCTGACCAGTGACATCAGCACTTATTCAAGTTCTTTTTTTGTTAGAGGGAGCATGTGCTCGCCAGAGACAGAGACACAGAAAGCGATCACTCCCCGGGGGGACGGCCATGCCGCAATCCCTTCTCCTTTCTCCTCTTGGGATTTGGGCATACTCACACGCATACACACTCGGTGTGAGTTTTGAGTCACCGAGTCCGGGACACAAACTGTGGTCGACTACGTGGGAGTCCAGTGACGTAACCATTATGCCATCTGCTGGTCCCCTCCCTTATCCAAGTTCTAACCTTGGAGTCATCTTGATAAGAAATGAAGATGAGGCAAAATTAATTAGTTGGACAGAAGATAAAGAAAGCGGCATTTACTGAGTTCCTCCAATGTCCTGGGCACTGTTCCGGTCTAGCAGGTGCGCACTGGTTCCATTTTATAGGTAGCGAAAAAGCTTGAAGTTTCTCAAATATGCCCTTTCTTTCCAGCCTCACAGTTCAGACTCTTCATCACTTCACACTCCCAGCAGTGCTGTAACAGTTTCCTCTCCTCCTGTCTGTACAAGACAAGGCCTGAACAGTCAGACCAAAATTCTACTCGTCTCACATCAGTTCTCTGTGAAGGGCAGTGAAACTGCCCACTGGCTGGCTCAACACACACCCACTGCAGAAAACAGTCTCTCAGTAACTAAGTGAGTGAGTGAATGAGTGAGTGAGTGAATGAATGAAAAAAATATATATATATAAATAAATAAAACTAGCTGAGGAGTACCCGGTCCTGTGACCCACAGGTTTTAAGGAAGAGGTGCTGAATGTGCAGAAGGCATGTGAAGAAGTCAAACGTCTTCAAGATAAAGTAGAATCTCTCTAAGACATTTCACAATTCTGACTCCACCCAAACCAGCCCTCTTTTCTTTAGGGAGCAGGGGTACCGAGTTAGAATTCCTGGGTTCTAACCCCCACTCCTCCACTTCTGGCTACTTAGCCTCTCTGTGCTTCAATTTCCTCCTCTATCCATGAAGTTCAACCTGACCTCTACAAAGGTCAGTTGCCGACCCTTGCAAACTCTGAATGGATGACCTCAGCTCATCTCGCCATGTGATTTATTAGGTTGTCGGGAAAGTCATGCCACTTTTTTTTTAAATGTTTTTCTATGACTTTCCCTATAACCCAATACAATAGCTCTACAGTAGAGTCTGAATCACTCACCTTAACTTCCACCTGTCACCACCCACCACCTTGCCTCATTTAACTGCCTCCCCTTTCTATGCCCCACCCCCAATGGCCCACTCACCAAGGGCCATGACACTACTCCTGCCCCAGGTGGTCATCCACGGGACACTTGGGGGTGGGGCCTCAAAAGTGTTAAAAGTTAAATGACCTTAAATATGGCTTTTGTTTTTTAAAATTATATTCAATCCATACACATATACTTTCATCCTTAGCAATGCCAAGAAAGAGTCTTGAGATTTACTTCTTTTTTTTTTTACCAGTTTAATTTATTTTATTTATTTCTACAGAGCGGAAGAGAGCATCCCAACAGGGTCTCAACACCACGATCCACCCCTAATCTTCAGCCAGCCTCGGATCATGGGCAAGCTGGTGCCATTACAATATGAAAATCGATTATAACCAAAACCACTTACGGAATATATAATAAAGGCCAGGCACTGCGCTAAGTATCTTATGTGTGTTTCTGTTCTTTTCTCAATCCTCTTAGATAAATCTCTCCCCATTCCATAGTTAATGAAGAGACCTCACCCGAAGCTACAGAACTCCTGAGGAAGGGCATGAGAGAGTGTGTGATTCAAGCTCAGCTGTCTACCTCTAAAGCCCATTCTAAATGACAGTAACACACTCTTTTGCTTAGTAATTACTTTGGTCGTATCTAAATGTTAAACCTTCTCTTCTAAAGGTGAGCTGCTAGCAACAACCAAAAAAAAACTGAATTTTTTTTGTCACTTCCAGAATAACCCATTCCTAATAAGTGACCCAAACTTCAACCTTTATATAAACTATTTATGGGGGGGAGACCAGCAGGTGGCATGATGGCTAAGGCACTGGACACTCCCACATGGCTGACCACAGTTCAAGTCCTGAACCTGAAGCTTGCTTTCTCACCTTCTCTCTCTCTTTCTCTGTGTGTCTTTCTCTGGTCAAATTAAAATAGAGGAATGAATAAATAAAATTAAGTAATTAAAAAAAAAAAACTATCTGTGGGGAAATAGTCACAGAGAGGTCAAAAACGTGCCCCAAGGACCAGCAGTTAGCGTAATAGCTATGTCGCTGGACTCCCATGTAGTCAACTGCGGTTCGAGTTCTGGACTCGGCAGCTTGAACTCACTCCGGGTGCATGTGCATGCGTGCCCAAGATCCCAAGAGGAGAATGGAGGAGAAGGGATTGCGGTGTGGCCATCCCCCCTGGGGGGTGATTTCTCGCTTTCTGTCTGTCTGTCTCTGTCTTTCTGGCGCGCGCACACACCCTATAGCAAAAACCTCTCCCAAAAAAAGAAAAAAAAAACTTGCCCCAAATCACACAACTGGTAAATGCTGAATTTGGGGATGAAATAGTAAACGATAAACTGCTTCATTTATTGACTCACAACAATTTTTTTTAAATCTTTAGTTTTTGCCATAGGTTATATATGATCACCAGAGAGTGAATGAGTGAAGAATCATCCCTCAAAGGATCTGGCCACACTGCAATCCCTCCTCCTCCAATCTCTTCTAGGGATTTGGGGGCATGCATGCACACACACTCAGCGTGATTTTCAGGCTGCCAGGTCCAGGACTTGAATCACACAGTTCGCTATGTAGGACCCTGGGCCTTAACCACCACTCCATCTGCTGGCCCTTCCTTCTCAACAATTTTTATTAAGTAGTCTTGTAGAGGCTGGGGATACCGCAATGAATAAACCACAAACATTCCTACTCCCGCAAAGTTTACCATCTTCTTTTCCAATTATTTTCATTCAAGGACGCAATCCTAAATCCTTTTAAATATTCTAAGTTGGGACCAGTAGATGGCTTAATGGTTACAGGACTCCCACGTAGTTCACTGCAGACCTAGACTTGGCGGCTTAAAACTCACGCTGGACAATTGTGCACGTGTGCCCAAGATCCCGAGAGGAAAATGGAGGAGAAGGGACTGCAGCATGACCATCCCTCCATGAAGGGTGATTTCACTTTCAGTCTGTCTCCCCATCAAGCGCACAGGCCCTATAGCAAAAATCTAAGGAAAAAAATCCTAAGTTTTCCACACAAAAACATCAAATTTGTATAATAAAAACTGCTATCAAGGGGCCAGCAAGTGGTGTAGTGGTTAAAGTGCTGGACTTCCAAATGACTGGCAGCAGTTCGAGTCCCAGACCTGACAGCTTGAAAATCACACCAGGTGCATGTGCCCCAAATCGCAAGAGAATGGAAGAGAAGGGACTGCAGTGTGGCCATTCCCCCAGGGGTGATTTCTCACTTGCCCTTTCACTGTCCCTGTCTCTGGCAAGTGCACGTACCTGATAGCAAAAACCTCCAATCAAAAAAAGTATCAAAGAAAGTGCACAGGCCTTGGGGCCAGAAAACCTGTGTTAAATTCCCAACTTGGCTATTTATTAGCAGTGTGACCCTCGCCTGACTCTCCATTTCAATCCTGTAAAAAGACTACTTATGAAATAATGTATTAAGATGCGCTCCTAGCACAATGCAGACACTTAATATACACTCAGTAAATGAGTTTCCCTGCTCCCTTTCCTCCACCCCCAGTGACTTCACAATTTGTGTCGTCACGGAGCGCGTGTTAAAAGGCTACGCGGAGTTACACTGAAAAGTGACCAGGGCAATTCTCACTGCAAATCATCCTCCCTGTGTCTCCAACTTCAGATCCCAGACTACTCAGATTCGGATCAATTAGGTGACAACATAGGAATGACAGCAATTTACACCAGGGCCTGGCAGTGTCTATAAAATGCTGCCGGTGACCTTCTTCAGAGGCACTTTTGTTTCAGCTGGGGCGTAATGGGCCTCCTGTCCAGGCGCCGGGGCTGGGGCACCAAGGAGGAGAATTCCAAGGCGCTGGCACGAGGTCGTGCCCTGTACGGCTTTCCACTCGACGAGCTCTGCAACGTCCCGCCACTGCCCACCGACGACCACCTCCTCGTGCTGCAACCGCAGCCCTCACCCGGGCCGCTGCCCCGGCTCCTCCGGTCTGGGCCCCCGCCGCCGGATGACCTCCGCTCCGGGCTTGGGCAGCTCGCCCTCGCCCCGGCCTGCGGGGCTGGAACAGGCCGGGCGGCCTGACCTCCCGCGGGCTTCCTTCTGCCGCCCTGATCTGCGGAGCCTGCGGCTGGCTCCGAGCGAGAAGCCCCTTACCGATCTTCACAACCGCATCCGCCATGCACCGGTCCCACTTCTGGCCGAGCTCTGACTCCGACATGTTCCCCACCCGCAGCTCCAGCTTTCGCGAAGGCCGGCCCCCGCGCGCTGACTTCCGGCAAGTCTCGCGAGAGCCGGCGCCGTTCCCAGGCCCCGAAGGCCGGCGCCCGCCCTCCAGATATCGCGAGATGCTAGGACTGCTTTCGTCCCTTCCGGTTTTTTTCAGTTGGTCGTCAAGGTGATGGGTTGCCTGGAGGCCCGAGGTGACCCTGACCTTGGAGCTGCTCCTAAGGGTTACAGTTTCGTCCGCCGCCTCCAGGGCCGGGTTGAAGCCTCTTCTCCCCACCAGCTCCCGACCATGGCTCCAGAAATCCGCAGAGCAAGAGCGGTCGCAGCCCTTGCCTGATCATTCCTTCCCGGACCTTCACTTTTTCTATTCATTCATTCCCCTGCTTTTCCCAGCGGAATTCCCGCCCGCGCGGCCGGCACGGAAACTGCTCTGGCAAAGGTCCCCGCCACTGCCGAGTCAGAGGACGCTTTCCGCCCTCTTCACCGTGTTCGACGCAGGTGCCCCTCGGCCTCCTCGTCCCCTCTCTGCATGGACTCCGTGACACCATCTCCTTCTCTGACTCTGGTTTCCTCCAAGGCTGCTTGTTCTCTGAGCTCTTTAAAGAGTATTGATTTCAAGGTTGCATCGATCCTCTTCACGGTCTAGTTTCTCAGAGGAATTGCAACCCTTGCGAATTATGTATTTCCAGATGAAACGCCTCCCTCAAGCTTCCTGTTCATACGTATTTGGCTCTCTGTTCGTGTCATTGATTTTAGTCTTTCCCCCATTTCTGGCCTCCATCCTATAACAAAATATTAATGTAACCATGTTCTGATTCTTTTTCTTTCTTTCTTTTTTTTTGGAGAGGTTTTTAGCTATAGGGCGCGCAGCGCTCGCCAGAAAGATAGACGGAAAGCGAGAAGTCATCTCCCAGTGGGAATGGCCACCCCGCAATCCCTTCTCCTCTCGGGATCTTGGGCGCACACACACGCGCCCGGAGTGAGTTTAAGCCACCGGTCCGGGAGACGGCCCGCGGTCGTCTACATGGGAGTCCAGTGACATAGCCATTACGCTAACTGCTGGTCCCCATGTTGCTCTGATTTGAAGCTGTTAATGACTCCCATTCCTCTGCTGTATAGATCAAAGCTTCAACAGAACACTGCACTCCTAGGGAGCCTGCTGGAATCAGCTTTGAACTGGATCTCCCCTTCTCATGGTCCCAGAGCCTATCTACCCCCCACAGAATCTTCTAGTAATACTCAAACACTTCTTATAGGTGTTATCTGCCAGTAGAGCTAGATGCTCCTTAAAGGCAGGAGA